ATTTATTAATTAGGTTGTCTATTTCTTTATTATTGAATTATATAAGTTTTTTATATCTTGGATATTAGTCCAAAATATATATTAATATTATTAGTTATACATTTTGTAAATGTTTTTTCTCATTCAATAGGGTATCTGTTGAATTGTTTTTGTGGTTTTTTTTTTTTTTTTTTTGCTGTATAGAAGCTTTTTAGCTTGAGGCAACCCCAATTGTTCATTTTTGTTTTCAATTCTCTTGCCATAGGGGTTGAATCATCAGAAATACCTTCATTGTTGATACCATGGAATGTTATCACCAATGTTTTCTTCTATGTATTTTATTGTTGCAGGTCTTCATCCATTTGGAGTTTATTTTTGTGTGTAGGGTTAGTGAGTGACCCCACTTCATCAATACAATTTTGTGCTAATTCCATATTGTTTTTAGTACTGTTGCCTTATACTAACATTTGAAGTCAAATTATGTTGATACTTCTTTCTCTCCCCTTTTCTCAGGGGTGTTTTTGCTCTTGAAGCCTTCTGTGATTTCACATACTTTTCAATGTATTTTTGCTTGATTATTTTGAAAAATATTGCAAGTATTTTATCAGCAAATATGTTAAATTTATATATCACTTTAGGCAGGATATTTATTTTAATTAAATTGATTCTCCCCATCCAATGGGCATGGGGTACTCTTCCCTCTCCTTATGTTGCTACCAAAGTCCTTTAAGTACGGACTTTTTTGTAGTTCTCATTGTATGAGTCTTTTACCTCCTTAGTTAGCTTGATACTGAGATATTTAATTATTTTTGAGGCAATCACTAATGTAGTTAATTTTATAATATCTTTTTCTTGTTTATTGTTTGTAAAGAAAAAGCCTATGGATTTTTGTATGTTCATTTTGTAGCCTGCCACTTTGCCATATTCATTTATTGTCTCCAAGAAATTTTGATGGAGTTTTTTTTTTAAGATTATTTATTTATTCATACAGAACTGGGGTACAAGTCAGAGTTGCAGGGGTGGTGAGAGGCTTCACCAGAGACAGAGTGGGAAGCAGAACAGGGAGATCTACAAAGTACACTGCTGAGGGGAGGTCTGCCTCACCATGTGGATCACCTCTGGGGTAGGCGGGGTTCGAACTCATGTTGAAGAGGCTTTAGCTTCTTAGTGCTCTGCTTTTTGCTTTTTTTTTTTTTAAGATGTATTTACTTGTGCATAAAGAACTGGGGTACAGGCCAGAGGCTCAGGGGCGGTGAGAGGCTTCACCAGGGACAGAGTGGGGAACAGAACAGGCAGATTGATGAAGTACACTGCTGAGGGGAGCAGCGGGTGGGTCAGGAGAGGTCTGCCATGTCATATGGTCACCTCCGGGGCAGGCGGGAATCGAACTCATGCGGAAGCGGCTTTAGATTCTCAGTGCTGTGCTTTAACCCGCTGCGCCACCAGGGAGGGCCAGTGCTCTGCTTTTAACCTGGTGTGCCACCAGGGAGGGCCGAGTGTTACTTCTTAATCATAGTATATATAGTACCCTTCTTCATATCGTATTACCCTTCTTAATTGGAAGTCTTTTTATCAGATACATTTATATTCCTTTTTTGTTATTGGCATTTGCTTGTATAACTGTCTTCCAACCGTTCAATCTGTTCTTGTCGTTATTAGTAAGCTGGGTTTCTTGTAAATAACAGGAGATTGGACTTTATTTTGAAATCTATTCTGCCACTCTACATCTTTGTAAATTCAGGGCATTTACATTTAAGGTAATTTTTGAGACAAAAATGCTCACTGACATTTTGTCTTTGTGTTTTTTCCCCCCTATCTTTGTCTCTCTTATTTTCTGTGGGCTTCCTATTATGTTTTGCTTAAATTCGATTTCTATTGTCTTACGTGTTAATTCTATTAATTTTTGTTTGAGGGCTATATTGAGGTTAATATATGATGGGCTATTTGCATGGCCCATTAAATGGTCTGGTCTCTGGCTTGTTTTGACGGGCCACATTTTTAATTTCCTTTTCTTCCATGTTAAGTTATTTAGGTGTCTTATCTATATTTGTTGTTCTGTTGCTTTATAATACACCCTTCAAAATTTCTGTATCTTAGTGTAGCTCTCAAAGTATAGTTAGCTTGATGAAAAGAGAGGAGTGCATCCCAGGAAGAAGAGAGTGTGTGAGCCAAAGCACAAAATAGCATCTTGGAAATAAAGGGTTAAAATTAAATGTTTGCGATAGGAAGTAGCTTTAGTTAAAGCGGAGAGGTCAGCAGTTCTTAGCTATATCAGAGAGGGCTCAAATGCTAGGTTAAGGAGCTTAACCATTATTCTGTAGGCTATAGGAAGCAATGGAGGAATTTTTTTGTTTTTAATAGTGTTATGAAGGTATAATTTACATACCATACATTTCACCAATATATAGCATGTAATTATTTTTATTATAGTTGCACTTCTACATCCATCACCAGTTTTAGAATTTTTTAATCAATTCAAAAAAAAGTTTCTGGGTCTCCCTGGTGATACAGGGGTTAAAGACATTGCTGTCAAGCTATCACCAGCCTCTGCAGCATGAGTTCAGTCCTCGACCAGCCAGGGAGCTGATCCATATGGCACAGCAGACCTTTTCTATCTCACCGGCTGCTCCCTTCTGCAGTGGATTTCAGTATATCTGCCTGTTCTGCTCCCCACTGTGTCTTTAGTGAATATTCTCACCATCCCTTACCCCTATACCTCTGGACTACACTCCCAACTCTTGTATGCATAAATAGTTCTTTATTTTTTAAAAGAAATTTCTTATTCTCTCACTACTTCCTAGTCCTTGAATCCCCCATTCCCCACGCCTGGCATCTACCAGACTATGTTCTCTATAAACTTGCCTATATTGGAAATTTATTGTAAAAGGAATCTTTACATGATCTTTTGTGAATGACCTGTTTCATGTAGCAAAATATTTTCAAAGTTTGTTCATATTGTAACATGACCTGGTATTTCATTCCCTTCATATGACTATATAATATTCACTGGGTGGATTACAGCACATTTTTAAAAATCTGTCACTTGGTTAACATTTATGTGTCTACTTTTGGCTTTATAAAGAATACTGCTGTGAACATTTGTATACAAGATATTTTGTAAACAAATGTTTTCATTTCTCTTGGGCATATACCAGTGAGAAGAATATCTGGGTTGTATGTAACTGTGTGTGAACTTTTTGAGGAACTGACAGCATTTTCCAAAGCAGCTATACCATTTTACATTCCCACCAACAGTGTTATGAGAGTTTCATTTTTTTCTCATTCTCACCAGCACTTAGTATTTTATTACTTTTTGATTATAGTCATTCTAATGGGCATGAAATAGTTTTGATTTGCATCTTCGCTAATTTTCAGAATCTTTTCATGTGCTCAATTAACTAGATATAAATCTCATTTGGAGAATTGTCTGTTCAGATCCTTTGGGTTATTTGTCTTTGTTGGTTTATAAGAGTTCTTTATATCTTCTAGGTACAAATCCTTTACCAGGTACATGATTTGTAAATATTTTCTCAAATACTTTGGATTGTTGTTTTACTTCTTGATGGTATCCTTTGTAGCACAATTTTTTAGTTTTGATAAAATTCAACTCATTTTTTTCTTTGGTTGTTTAATATGTTTGATGTCACACTTTAAAAACCATTACCAAAAACAAAATCACAAAGATTTTTAAAAAAGATTTATTTATTTATGCATATAAGAACTGGGGTACAGGCCAGAACTGCGAGGGTGAGAGGATTCACCAGAGACAGAGTGGGGGAGCAGAACAAGCTGGCTGATAAAGTACACTGCTGAGGGGAGCAGTGGGCGGGTCAGGAGATGTCTGCCATGCCATATGGGTCACCTTCCTGGCTGGGGATCAAACTTGTGCTGCAGTGGTATCAAATGCCTTAACCCACTGTGCCACCAGGGAGGGCCCCCAAATCATAAAGATGTACGTCAATTTTTTTTCTAAGAAATTTTTTTTTGTACTTTTAGCTATTTTCTTTGATTTATTCAGAATTTTTTATATGGTGTGAGGTAGAGGTGCAATGTTATCCTTTTGCATGTGGCTATCTAGTTGAGAAGACTTTTTTTCCCATTGGAATTATTTTCTCATCCTTGTCAAAATCAGTTGGCCATAAACTTGAAGCAAAGCTGTGATGATTTTTCTTAAGTTTTAAGACATTACTGCTGGCTACTATGTAAAAAATGTATTTGGAGGGATTAAGTATATGTATAGAGGCCAGTGAGTAGAAGCTCACAGTTATGCAGGGCAGAGATGATGGTAATGTGTACTATAGTAGTGGTAGTGAAAATAGAAAGACACAGGTTGTACTTGGGAAATATAGTTAGTAGGACTTGGGGACTCTGACTGGGGGTGAAGTGCAGGGGCTCAAAAAAGGGGAGAGGTCAAGAATGATTTATTTGGGTTGGGGTCAAGGATAATCTTAGAGATCTACTTTGGATAGCACTCAAATGGAAAATCATGTTATTAGAGGTGAAATAATGAATTTCACTTAGGAGGAGGAAATTGTAAAGAGGGAGTGATCAATAGTATCAAATGCCTCACAGAGTTCAGAAAAATAAGACTTGAGAAATGCCCGTATATCCTGTTTTCGTGCTTCCACAATATAGGTTGGTTGGTTAATTTTACAAAAAAAATCTCTCTCCATACTTCTTGTGGGTAACAGTTTTTTTTTTAAAACTGTGGAACCAGTAATGTTTGTACATATATTTCCCCACAACTAGTGACTGAAGGTGTTTATACGCTGTCTGGTGGGTATTTACATCTTAAGTGATGCCAGCTTTTATTGGCATCATCTGTGAAAATCTTTCCCATCTTGAATTGAAGATATCAAATGACCAACTGCGGTTTGTATTCCAAAATGGAGTCTAAAGGATTCTTAGACTGAATGTTCAGTCTTTTATTCTTCCTTTCTAATCTCTCTCTGTGTGTCTGCATATAATAATATATCTATTTATACAGAGATACACTCTCTTTTTCCCAACCTTTTTTACAGATACGTGAAGGAAGCCAAAGAAGCAACTAAGAATGGATATTTGGAAGAAGCACTTAAACTTTTCAATTTGGCAAAAAACATTTTTCCCAATGAAAAGGTGATGAGCAGAATCCAAAAAATACAGGAAGCCTTGGCGGAATTGGCAGAAAATGGGGATGATGAATTCACAGATGTGTGCAACTCTGGCTTGCTGCTTTATCGAGAATTGCACAACCAATTATTTGAGCACCAGAAGGAAGGTGTAGCTTTCCTCTACAGCCTATATAAGGATGGAAGAAAAGGTGGTATCTTGGCAGATGACATGGGATTAGGGAAGACTGTTCAAATCATCGCTTTCCTTTCTGGTATGTTTGATGCTTTGCTTGTGAAACACGTGCTACTGATCATGCCAACCAATCTTATAAGCACGTGGGTAAAAGAATTTGTCAAGTGGACTCCAGGGATGAGAGTCAAAGCTTTTCATGGTCCTAGTAAGGATGAACGGACCAGAAACCTCAGTCGGATACAGCAAAGGAGTGGTGTCATTATTACTACCTACCAAATGTTAATCAATAATTGGCAGCAACTATCAAGCTTGAATGGCCAAGAGTTTGTGTGGGACTATGTCATTCTTGATGAAGCACATAAAATAAAAACCTCATCCACTAAGTCAGCAATATGTGCTCGTGCTATTCCTGCCAGTAATCGAATCCTCCTCACAGGAACCCCAGTCCAGAATAATTTACAAGAACTATGGTCCCTGTTTGATTTTGCTTGTCAAGGGTCTCTGCTGGGAACATTAAAAACTTTTAGGATGGAGTATGAAAATCCTATTACTAGAGCAAGAGAGAAGGATGCTACTCCAGGGGAAAAAGCCTTGGGATTTAAGATATCTGAAAACTTAATGGCAATCATAAAACCATATTTTCTCAGGAGAACTAAAGAAGAGGTACAGAAGAAAAAGTTAAGCAACTCAGAGGTCAGACTTAGTGAAAATAATCCAGATGTTGATGCCACTTGTGAAATGCTGTCCCTTTCCAGGAAAAATGATTTAATTATTTGGATACGTCTTGTACCTTTACAAGAAGAAATATACAGGAAATTTGTGTCTCTAGATCATATCAAGGAGTTGTTAATGGAGACACGCTCACCTCTGGCTGAACTAGGTGTCTTAAAGAAGCTGTGTGATCACCCTAGGCTGCTGTCTGCACGGGCTTGTCGTTTGCTGAATCTAGGGGCCATCACTTTTTCTGTTCAAGATGAAAATGAAGATGATTCCTCAGATGGGGGCCATATTGATCAATTAACTGATGATACATTGATGAAAGAATCTGGAAAGATGATATTTCTAATGGACCTGCTTAAGAGACTGAGAGATGAAGGGCACCAAACACTGGTATTTTCCCAATCAAGACAAATTCTAAACATCATAGAACGCCTCTTAATGAATAGGTGCTTTAAAATATTGAGAATTGATGGAACAGTTACTCATCTTACAGAGCGAGAAAAAAGGATTAACTTATTCCAGCAAAATAAAGATTACTCTGTTTTTCTCCTTACCACTCAAGTAGGTGGTGTTGGTTTAACATTAACTGCAGCAACTAGAGTGGTCATTTTTGACCCTAGCTGGAATCCTGCAACTGACGCTCAAGCTGTGGATCGAGTTTACCGGATTGGGCAAAAAGAAAATGTTGTGGTTTATAGACTGATCACTTGTGGGACTGTAGAGGAAAAAATATACAGAAGGCAGGTTTTCAAAGACTCATTAATAAGACAAAGTACTGGTGATAAGAAGAACCCTTTCCGGTATTTTAGTAAACAAGAACTAAGAGAGCTCTTTACTATTGAGGATTTTCAGAACTCTGCAACTCAGCTGCAGCTTCAGTCTTTACATGCTGCTCAAAGGAGATCCGATAAAAAACTGGATGAACATATCGCCTACTTGCATTCTTTAGGGATAGCTGGAATCTCGGACCATGATTTGATGTACACACGTGATCTCTCTGTTAAAGAAGAGCTTGATGTAGTGGAAGACTCGTACTACATTCAACAGAGGGTTCAGAAAGCACAATTTCTTGTTGAATCAGAGTCTCAAAATACAGAGCTCCTAATGGAAAGACAGAGAACTGTAAATGAAAGAACCTGGCCAAGAGAACCTGTGTTCCCTTCTCAAATAAAGAAGAAACACCCTCAGTTGAATAAACCACAGCCTCAGCTTTCACCTCTTATGACTACTCATAATTCTCCAGAAGAAATCAGTCTCCAAATGGCAAGTGTAATCATTGATGATCAGTTGGAAGAGAGTGAGAGGCAAGATCTCTCCAGTAAGATGGATCATACCCTCCAGCACCTATGCAAAAGTACAGTTGATGCTGACATTGTGGCAACTTTACCCAAGGAGTACAGAAGTGTGGAAGAAATTTGTGTTGACTCTTCATTGGGAATGGCAAAAGGTTTTGCAAATGAAAGTGAAGCACTACAAAAAGAGGAATTGAGAGAAGGCCCTACACAGAAGGCACTGCTAGAGAGCTCTCTGGAAAGTTTTAATTATTTACTTAGCAAATCAGTCAGAGCTGATCTTGGGCCAAATCTAGTTCAACTAGAGGATGATGAGATTTTATATCACTCCAATCCCTGGCCCATTGATCCCATAAATGAAAGTCAAAATATAGACCAGAATGCAGCTGTTACTAAAATAACTGATGATAACTTATCAGCATCCCACAGTACACTGCAGGATGCTCAAGTAAATGAGGCCAAGTTGGAAGAGGAACCTTTAGTATCTTCACAGTATGCATGTGATTTCAATCTTTTCTTGGAAGACTCTGCAGACAATAGACAAAATCTTTCCAGTCAGTCTTTGGAACATGTTGTGAAAGAAAATAGTGTGTATGACTCCACAGCTAATTCTAGAGCAGAGTTTGAGCAGAGCCAAGCATGTCTCAGTATGGGTATTTCTGAGAATGATGATGAGTCAGAAGTAGTGTTGAATGTGAAAGTCAGAAGTAAAGTCAGAAGGATCACTTCAGATGGCGAAGATGAAGATGATACTTTTAAAGGAACTTCAACATTCAGCACATCTCCCTTTGAATTCTCATCTGAAAGAGGATTTGATGCTTCAACTCCCAGAGATGACATCAGTTTACCTGGAAGGTTCTTTTCGCCTAAAATACCTGATAATATAAATAAGTCAGTAAACTCTAGAAGATCCCTGTCTTCAAGGAGGTCTCTTATTAATGTGGTTTTAGACCATGTGGAGGATATGGAAGAAAAAATTGTTAACAGTGAGGGAGAGGTTGCTGAAGATTATTTGGAGGGAGGCGCAGAGGAAAGTAGTGGCGATGCCTCAGATTGCACAGAAGAGGTTCCTTCCAGAGAAGAGGCTCCTTCCAGAGGAATGCTGTCTGCAGAAAGTGAGTCCAACTGGTTAATGACACCTAAGTGTGGTGCTCTAGTTCAAGAGACCACTCTTGGTGACCCTGAGGCTTTGTCTGATGGACAGTTGGTTGATTCTCCCCAGGATAAGTCAGTGGAGACTGCAGATGACTATGAGACTCTTGTAACGCGTGGAAAAGAACTGAAAGAGTGTGGAAAGATACAGGAGGCCTTAGACTGCTTAGTTAAAGCACTTGACATAAAAAGTGCAGATCCTGAAGTCATGCTTATGACTTTAAGTTTGTATAAGCAACTTAATAAAACTTAAGACTATAACTTGTTTATTGTATGTTAAAGCAAAAGTGACTGAGGTAATTTGATTCCTTAGTTGGGTTTTTTGAGTATGGAACATTCAGGTTTAAGATGAGATTTCAGAACACAAGTTTTTGTTGCCAACATTTTTGTACATTCTGCATTTTTGCCCCCCCTGCGCCTAGTGAGACCCAAGCACTGGTGTGGTGGAGTGTCCAGGCGGTGGCCGTCCCCCCCCCCCCCCCCTTCTGCATTTTTGCCCCCCCCCCCGCCATATATGCTCATATTCTAAGCAACAGATAAGTATCTCTACTTGAATATTCTGTATTTCTTTCAGGCTTAACAGAACTATGTTATTTTTAGATTCTGGTCATTTTATTCTGAAAGCAATCTCTTGTTTATCATAGTTAAGAATATTAAAGATACCTTTTTCAAGTTTTTCTTTTCCACTCACTTTCTTTCACTGAGGTAACTCTGGCATATGCATATAGAAATTCCTTAGGAGCTTGCCATTTATTTTCCACATCTAAGACTGGTTTGTTAACACGCTAGCTTGATGCGCTCAGCTTACTAAAGGGGAAGGCTAGGATGAGGTACCTGAAACAGGCTCCTTTATCCTTGCTTCCCACTTTGTTAGCCAGTTAGCCATTGTGCACTCACCACATTCTGACACTTCCAGCACACTGTATCTTTGGTTATAGACTAAAAAGTAGTTTTACTTTTCAGTAACAGAAAGTACAGGATAGCAGGGGAACTAACATTTATCAGATTACCTTAACCTACCATGTACCAGGCACTCTAATCTTTACCATAATGCTTTGATGTAGTGTGGCATTTCCATTTTTTTAGTTGAGGAAGCCGAGGCTCAGTGAGACTGACCTGCCCCTGATCATTTAGTAAGGGATGAAGTGGACTTTTAACCATGTGTCACCTTAGTGAAAAGCCATTATAAACACTAAACTGTTTTTACTTAGAAGACTTCTGACATCAAATGTGTATGGATTTTCCACACTAATTTTCTGAGTCTGAAGACACCAATTGGATGTCCTCCACTCCAGTTCAGTCTGACACTACCCAACATAGGGCCAACGTCCACAAATCTAAGTGTCCATTCGCATACTGGAATAGCCAAGTGGAAGATACGTGGGGTAAGGTATGGTGGGGAAGGAAGGTTTCATGTGTTGCATCCATGCCCTAGTCTCTAGTTACTGTCACCCTTCAGCACCTTGATGTGTCCAGCAGCCCAGGAGTAACCCAGACCCTGGTGTAGGGTGTAGCGGTTTTTATAGAGCTTTCATTACATAAGCATAATTGCTTAAATCACTGGCCATTGGTGATTAGCTCCATCTCTAGCCTCTTTCTCCTTCTTACAGGTCAGCAGTGAGGCCCAGAGTAACCTACCCTCGCTTGTGTTTATCTCTGGTGACCAGTTCCCATCCTGAAGCTATCTGGGGACCCCAGCCATCTCACTGCATAAAGAGATACTTCAGAGATCTCATGAGTTTTAGTAACTGAGAAAGAAGACCAGCTATTTTTTACATTACACACATAAAAGTTACCTGTAAAATATACATAGTGCTATTCTCATATATATCTTATAAAATTTGCAGCTAGGGTTTTGAAGATAAGCTGAGTTTAAATAATAGGTTATTGGTAATACCAAATTTTGCTTACCAAAAAGTTTTTACTGGCATTTTAGGGAGGATTATGTGATTGAATATCATTAAAAAAAACCTTGGTGGTAACATTTTGTGATTCAGCAAGCCACAGCCTGCATCTCAGTCCAGCTCATCAATTGCCTAGGTGGACTGAGTGGCCACAATGGCACAGGTAGAGGGCAGCAGGCCATCGACTGCTTCCTGCTTATTTTCAGGCCCTTCCACCAAGTGTGAAAATATTCTGGAAATTCAGGTAAGCATTTCTTTCTTTCCTTGATATGGCAAGAGAAGAGCCCGGCACAATTTATGTTTACCAGGAGATTTTAGGGGCCTATATATGTTTGTTTTGTATAGTGAAGCTTTTGGTTCTAGGTATATTTCTCATTGAGAAAACAAAATTCTTTTTTAAGAAGATTAAATAGTGCCTTCATAAGGTTCTACAGCAGTGTCCAGAATATACTTTTTTTTTTCATAGCCTAATGACCAATAAGCTCACTTTCAGAGTTTGTTTTTAGGCCTTTTAGAGGAATACTCATTTCTACTTAGTTTTTATCAAAGTAATAATGGTTCACTACACTATGTGATTTAGGGGAATAGCATCACACTTCATCAGATGCATGTCACCACACCATTTCTACCATTAATGCATCCAGTCAACACTGGGCCCCCCACCCCTTTCTTCCCACTCCCATTCCTTCCCCCGCAATAGACTAATTCTGGGCCCTAGCTGTAAGTTGGTTTTAGTTTAGCCAGTTCCCTTGTTCCTCTGTATTCCATATATAAATGAAATCATCCAGTGTTTCTTTATCCTTCTAACTTATTTCATTTGGCCTAAACCCGTTCTGTTCTGTTGTAACAAATAGCAAGAGTTCATCTTTATTTTATATCTGAGTAGTATTCCATGGTGTATCCATACCACATCGTATTCACTCGTCTGTGCTGTGTGCACTTAGGCTATTTCCATGACTTGGCTATTGTATATAGTGCTGCAGTGAACATAGATGTGCATGTATCCCTTTCAAATTTTTTTTTAGTGTTTTTGCATTCTTTGGGTAGAAGCTCAAGTGGGATTGCTGGGTCATATAGTATATCTATTTTTAATATTTGAGGAAACTCCATATTGTTTTCCATAGGGGCTGGACCAGTCTACATTCCCATCAGTAGTGTTTGAGGGTTATCTTTTTCTACACATCCTTCCTCTCCATTTGTTGCTGCTTATTTTTATGGGCCATTCTCCAGGAAGCGAGATGGTTTCACATTGTGGTTTTCATTTGCATTTCCCTGTTGGTAAGTAATGCTGAACATAAAACTGTTAGTGCATGATGACAATTTGGGAGAAAAATACATGAACATGGTAAAATATTCAAATAGTATCTTAAGGCAGGGATTTTTAAACTGAAATTCAGAAATAGAATTCAGGTATTCTATGATTTAGATGAAAATGTTTACATCTTCTCCCACTACCTGTACCTGGAGTGTGAGATTTCCTTTTGTTACATATGTAGGCATCACACTACAGAAATATTAGCAGTAACTGACTTTGTCACCAATAGAAATCAGATTTTGCAGTTCTTGCAGCTATCTAAAATAACAGTGATACTCATCATTACAGATTGCATGGCTTTTAGACCTACTGCTGGACCTCATTGCTTAATGTTAACAAAGGCATACATATCATGTGGATTATATAAAAATTTATATATAAAATTTAATATTACAATAATTTTACAACATAATTGATATCCTTTGTGATCCTGTGTAATTATGTTTTTAAAATCAACATTTTTGGAGTGGGAGCAATAGATTTGGGCAAACTGCCAAAGTACTCAATAGATTAAAGGTCCCTGATCTAAGGGTATGAGATACAACGTCTTACGCAGCCTCCTCTATATCTCGATTGCCATTTACAGAGACAGTCTATGAATGTATAAGCGCAAGCATAGGTGTATGTGATAATATAGTGTTCTGTACCATAGTTTTAAATTTTAACATAGCTGTCTGTTATATTGACTGGATATATCAATTTATCACTTTCTACTGATGGACAGGTTTTTTTTTTTCTTCCAAATAAAGTTGTAACGAATATCCTTGGACCTTTCACATATGTGAGTATAGAGTAATTGTCTAGAAATGGAGTTGCTGGATCAAAGGGTGTGTTCATAATTTTGGTTTTTTTTTTTTTTACGATTTTTATAGTAAAAATGAAAACAATGAACAACTATAAACCAGAGACACTTTAGGGGGGTGGAAGGGGGAATGAAATTGGAACTGGGGTGGGAAGAGTGCACTGTACCGTGGTGATGGCAAACAGGTGAATTGGTGGTGGAAAGTCCATGGGGATTACAACTGAGATGGAAAAAGGCACAAAATGAAGAATGATGTAAAAAAAATTAAAAAATCCTTACTGCAACAGAAAAAAAATGCTTTTATACATACAGACTGGGGTACAAGCCAGAAGTATAGGGGGGTGAGCATAACAGGTGGATCAACTGTTACGAAGTTGTTTTCTATGTTACATATTGATACATGTATTTTATGCATGTTACATACTGATATTACATACATACAATCAAATATGCACTGGAGGGAGCAGTGGGCAGGTCAGGAGAGGTCTGCCACACCATGTGGGTCACCTCCCTGGCTGGGGATTGAACTCGTGCTGCAGTGGCTGCAGTAGCTTCATAGTGCTGTGTTTGAACCTGTTGCAGCACCAGGGAGGGCCCGTATTTATAATTTTGAAGGTATTGCCAACTGTTCTCCATAGAGGTTACAATAATTTACATTCCCATCATTAATAAATACCTGTTTCCCAGACGGTCACAAATCATGCATTTAACATTTTAACCACTATGATAGGTTAAAGGGTGAGATCTCATATTGGTTTTAACTTGCAGTTATTTTCCTATGAATGAGGTTTGTTCTGTAAGCATTAAACTTAAAAGATGCACTTTCAAAGTGGAATTAAGTGCATATGTTATAATGTATATAAATTTGTAAAAATCCTTAGTTTTTTCATTTACCAACTACTTCAGAATCTGAGTTCTTGTGAAAAGCTATCCTCCCAAAGGTTTACTGGATGGTAGAGGCCAATTCCTGTGATACAAGCTAGCTCTAACTGAAAACTCACTATATCTGCATTCTATCCATTCCACAAAACTTAATAGATTTTTCTAGTTCACCCTTCAAACACTCCAGATTCCTTCCTTTGTGCGTGATAGTCTATGCAACAGCAGTTCTCTTAGTATACTGTGTAAGCCAGCATCCGTCTATGTAGTATCTTATACACATAAAGCTTTTCAGAATTTTCTCCAAGATTTTCAGAATTCATGGCCTTTATTGAGGAACACTGTTTTGAATGTGGTTTTTAATGCAGTTTCATGTTATACCCACTATTTTGAATGCCTTTCTGTCATACTGGCAAATCTATGTATTCCAGGTAATAGGGAGGACTTTTATCTGTTCAGTGGGGAAAATCTCATGGAGGCATAACTTCCAGAGATGTTCCAAAACTTCTCAAATGGGAAACTTAGGTCTCTGAATTTGCCAGTATATGGCCTAACGTGGGCATATTAAATGCAGCTGAGAAGGAACACAGTATATTAAAAGAATTATTGTTATGAATAATAGTTGTGTTGACAAAGTTTTATTTCTGAAAGTATACTACTTATTATAATCTTTATATACTTACCTTGGACATCATAAACATGGTATTATAAGTTAAGAAAACATAGACACAGAATGGTGGCCCTGAGATATGAATGGTCATAATGTAACCTGCACACCTGAAGATAAGATTTTATGCTGACATCTCTCCCTTTTAACCAGCACTTGGTAAATGGCCCCTTCTAAAAAAGCTGGTAGAAAAACTTGAATGTCTTTTTTTCTTCCAATAAACATTTATTTAAAAAGAAAAGGGAAATGCTGTATAGTTATTGTATTATGTACTACATTAAGATGATGGAGCTAATAATGCCTGAATTGACAGATTAAAATGTAAAAGTGATCAGGAACATTTGTTCGGTGTTCAGTGTGTGAGTAGTATGAGCTGTTATTTGGCTCCCAAGAGATGGTTTCTAAACTATGGGATACTGAGAATCAAATAAAGTAGTTCTGGAAGGAAAGGAACTACAGGTTAAAAGGAGTATGCTTAAACTATTTACAATAGCCAACTTATGGAAACAACCCAAAGGTCCCAAAATAGACGAATGGATCAAAAAGATGTTTACATAATGGAGTATTCCTCAGCCATCAAAAAACAAACTCATGCCATTTGCTGCAATGTGGATGGAGATGGAGGGGATTATACTAGCTGAAATAATTCCGAAGGAAAAAGACAAATATCAGATAGCTTCACTTATATGTAAAATATTGAGAAACCAAACAAAAGGTCAAAAAAAGTCAAAACTAGCAAGCAGACTATAGATCTGGGGCATACAGCAAAGGAGGGGGCAGGAGCAGGGGCAAAACGGGAAGGAAGAATACAAAGGAATGTGATCGTTCATAGGTGATAAAGTGGTGGGAGGGTATAAATGATGTAAGAAAAAAAAATAAGGGAGTGTGCTTGATATCTTTGGGAACTACTGACTGAATACCTATTGCAACACACACCAACCTTTACCCACTGCATTTTGCACCTACAAACCCATAAGACAATTTACAAATTACAAGAGTTATTTACCTTTTAAAGTAAAAATCAGAACATATTCAATCTTTCATACAATTTTATTTTTTCCCTTCAACCATAATAATATGATATCCAAATTTTGTCTTAACTGGAGGGTCTGTAAACACAGGCTTATCCAGCCCACTTACAGGCAAGGCAAATGCTGCTTCTTGAAATGGTCCCACCATGGACCCTCTGGTCATCCAACCCAAGTCGCCCTGAAAAACCCAAAAGATAGATGTCAAGTGGCCCTGAAAAGTTCTACAGTTCTGCTGTTTGAGATAATTTCCCAACACAAATGCTAAGGTTCCTGGGTCTATTCATTTAGGCTATGGAAGAATAGACTTGACAAGGACAAATGGTAGAAGAGGTCAACCCTGGACTGAACATACAAAGACTCAAAATATTGCTGGGTATTAGCTGTGCAAGTTTAGAGTCTAGGTTTAGACACAGGTGATCTGTATTCAGCTGTTTACAATTTGGACATTTCTGGTTTTAATTAAACTAAGACATAGCTAAAATTAATGGCAGAACTTACAAATTCTCTACTGCTTCATTTAAAATAAAAAGTGCACCATACCCCTTGCCTGGCTTTATCTTCACTATATTGTGTGGCCACTTCATTGAATCGCATTCCAGACTTTAGTTTTTCCATGGCTTCCATGATTTTCCCATGTTTTTCACATAGAATGTGTCTGACCTACAACGAAAAAAATACGTTCACATAATATTTGGATACCCAAATGATTCCTAGCCTCACAGCATAAGTCATGTCTGGATTACCCCCACTACTGAAAAACATGTTAGCTCATGGCAATGGAAAATTATGGAAGTCTGCCCAATTAGATAATGGCTACAAATCCATTTTTCTTATTAAAATAGTATCTCAGAACCCTGATTTTGATGGAAAATGGGTACCTGGCTGTGTGAAGCTCACACCTTTTATTTTCTACTCAATGGTAACAGGATAATGATTGAGAGCATGAGTCTTGGAGTCAAATCCCAAATCTAAGTCATCTTTTACATATACACACTTAAACTTTACTTTTCTATGTCTAGAAATTTATCCATTATTTTACCTACTTATGCATACAAGAACTGGGGTGCAGGCCAGAGGTATGGTCTGTGAGAGGATTCACCAGAGACAGAGTAGGAAACAGACCAGGCAGACTGACTGAAATACACTGCTGAGGGGAGCAGCAGGCAAGACAGGAGAGATCTGCTGCACCATGTTGGGTCAACTCCTTGGCCAGGAATCAAATTCAGGCCTCAGTGGCTGGTGATAATTTGATAGCACTAAGACTAACCCCTTTGCTACCAATAATTTTTTTAATTTATTAATTTAGTATTCTCATTCCTATCATATATGGACTTGCTTCTACTCATTAAGGTTTATTTTTTTCTAGAAAAATCTTACCAAATTATCTTTATAAATTTTAAATTGTATAGGATTTGAGTTTTGTTGATGATCTCTACTGTTATAATTTTAATCATCAAGTATACTTATTCCTTCTACTTTATTTAATTTTGGTTATTTTTCTAAATTTTTGAGAAAAAGTTTGCTCAGCAGTTTTCAAATTTCTAAAATAAAGATTACCACTAATGCAACTATATCACATCTCATATACATTTAAATGTACTTCTCATAAGTGTATAATCCCCATTTCTCCCTGCGATCTCATTATTCACATCTAATAGTGTCACATTGTGATAGAAAAAGTATGTTCAAAGCGATATAAATCTCTGGAAAGAAACAACCATCCTAAGTGACCTGGTATCTGCTTAATGTGTGCCAGTGTCCACTAAGCATGAAGGTGCATTATTTATTGTTAAGGGTCAAGTCACTTTCTCTGGCCCCTCACTATCAACATTGCTAAGCTGCATGACTATTTTATAAAGGTTAAATTACTAATTTATAAAGGTTAATTTTCTGTTGCCATTTTACATGTTTTCTTCCTCACTAGTATCTTAAAATCTCTAATTCTTTTTTTAAGATTAATTTATTTATGCATACAAGAACTGGAGTACAGGCCAGAGGTGCAGGGGAAGACAGGATTCACCAGAGACAGAGGGGAACCAAACAGGCAGATGGAGTGCTGAGGAGAGCAGCAGGCAGGACAGGAAAGGTCTGCTGCACCCATGTGGGTCTCCTTCCTGGATGGCTGAGGATTGAACGCGTGCTTCAGTGGCTGTGGACAACTTCACAGTGCTGCAACTGAGCCCCTTGTGCCACCAAGGAGGCCCTTAAAATCTGATTCTGCAGTGAAGTACTAATAAAACAATCATTGTATTACTGTAGTAGGTATATTTTTAAACCTTTTAAATGTTTTCCCACTTTTACCTGAGATAATGTTGTGAAGAATGAAGTAATGCAACTATTAAAGTTTATTATTTCATCAACGTGGGATGATATGGGAAAACTAGGAAATATCTCTTACCAAAGAGGCCAAAGTAGCCACCCCACAATACATTGAAAAAGTATATGTTGAATGTTAAGAATATTAACTGTAAAGAAGTATTTAAATTTAACCTATGTTTATATAAAGTTAGGTTTTAAAAAATTACATCTTTAAAAAATATTTGTCCAAGTGTCTTTTCAGGATTTCCCATTTCTGAAATATAATACATTATTTGTTTCATACTGTTAAGTGATATATTGGGGTTGGGGGCTAAAGGTGCCTCATAAATTGGAGACAGACAAACCAAGGCTGTCCTCAGGTTTCAACTACTGAGTGGGCAGTGTGGATGCTAGGGCCACAGAGTACTTTCTGACTGATGGAGCTACACAGGAGCTAGGGACACCTTAAAGGAAAGAATGCATCAAAAAGTAGGGCTAAGAGAGGCAACGTTACATAGAACATGTCCAGCTCTGTCCAGAAGGCTGAGGGACAATCTGGACACAAGAGATACATGTTACGGGACAAGGATGGTTCGTAAGGTTCTAACTTGGCCTGGAAAACTTAGCTTCTAGATTGCCTCTCTCCTGCTTCCATAGTCACAAAGCAACCTTCTGTGCTGAGAAAGCTCACACAGGGTTCATGATCATAGAAAGGGGATGCCAGCCACCATTTTATAAGTGAATAAACAGGCATTTTGGTTTGGTTTGAACAGACGTGACATAATGAGTGTAGTACTGGGGTAGGGTGGGGGTGTGTTGCAAGTTTGACCAGCTGCTCATCCATGTCTGAGAAAGCCAAGCTCCTGGAAAACCCGGGAGTGATCAGTATGGGAGGTAATGAGATTACACAGGAGAAAGGAGCTAAGAGGGCTAAAGATACCCTTGGAGGGTAGCACACAAGCAAAGAAAGAAGCTCAAAAGCATAATAAAAGTGGCCAGATAGGCAGGAGAGAAGGTATGTTAACAGAAACTAAGGTAGGGGAATTTTTTTTTGTGTGTGCATACATAAGGGGTACAGGCCAGAGGCTCAGGGGCAGTGAGAGGCTTCACCAGAGACAGAGTGGGGAGCAGAACAGGCAGATCGACGAAGTACACTGCAGAGGGGAGCAGCGGGTGGGTCAGGAGAGGTCTGCCCCACCATGTGGTCACCTCCGGGGCAGGCGGGAATCGAACTCATGCGGAAGTGGCTTTAGATTCTCAGTGCTGTGCTTTAACCCGCTGTGCCACCAGGGAAGGCCAAGTAGGGGAAAATTTTAAGGAAGAAATGTTCCCAAAGTTAAATACTGCAGAGTGATCAGGAAAGAAGTACAATCAGTTTAGCAGTCATTTAGGACCTTAGCAGAAGGAGTTTCAGGAAGTATAACTGGAGATCGAAGCCAGGGACTAGCAGGTGGTGCCCTCCCACTTAGTGGGTTGTTGGTAAAGTCAGATACCCTTGGTGAAAATGCTAAAAAGTATTGGAGGGGGCTACTGGGAGAGGAAATAGGAGTGACTGCAGGGAGGGAGGAGGAGAGACAGGTGGTTTTTGTCTGCCTTCGGGATTTAGGGTTTGAGTTTCTTCAGCATTTTGGGGGCCAGTGAATTTCAGCCCCTGACCATGCCAATCTTCCAGGCCATTGAAGACTTCTAAAGGTGGAGGTCTTCAGTAGCCAACCTTGGAGAGGTTAGGTTTTGCAAGTATCTTGAGTGAGCACCTGAAACAGTTCCTGGTTTTGGTGTGGTTACATCCTGGCAGAGAAGGATGAGACCTGGAGCCAGGTGCCAGGCTTATCTGTGTGAGTGAGGCCATTTGTCCGGTCATTTTGGTGGCTGTGGCTATTGTCCCGAGTGTTGCTCATCTGATGCTGCTAGAGTGTCCTGCAACTCTGGGAGCGTCTCCTATTGTGTCTTTTGTTGTCTTTGTGAGTTGGAACTTGACCTGGAGTCTGGCTGCCATGTGCAGGGGCAGGAAGGGGCTGGAAGATGCCATTTTGGGCACATGGCCTGTTGTTCAGGAGAAGAGCTACACATCCTCAGTGGCGGGAAGACGCCATCATAACGGTCTTTGTGCAGGATAGTACTGGACATTACTTTGGGTGAACAGCCATTTTTGGCCTCAGTAACTCTTGTCTTTCCCGTCTGTTAAATAAATCCGTTTGTTGTTGTTTCCTCAGCCTGAGCTGTCATGCAATTTTGTGTGGGGGTGAAGAACCCAGATAGATAGTATTTGGGCAGTGGGGCCTGGCCAGTTTAGCGTCCCCTGCCATCTAGCATCAGAAGGTAATGGGGCTGGGCATTTGGGAAAAAGTGGAGGGACCCTGAAGTGATTATGTTGAGTGACATCAGTCAAAAAGTGAACGGCAGCTTTCAGGTAGTCTCACTCATCTGCAGAATATAAACACCCAAAAAAACAATTCTACCAGACAATGGGAGAAATAAAAATTTGAACTTGGCATAAAGAAGATAATGGTTACCAGAGAAAATGGGAAAGATGGGAGGGGAGAAGGGAGGTTGGTCCCTTTCAGGCATATTTCAGGAAGATGCAATAAAGAGGGAATGGTTTAAGACACAGTAATGAGAGTGGAGAGAAATGAAGGAATATGATCTGGCATTCAAAGCACTATTTGAAAAGCTAGTCTTAAAGGAAGAAAGATGAGAAAGAGAAGAGGGAGGTGTGGGTGAATTTAAAAGTTAATACATTTAAAGAAATCTTTGGGGTGATAGAAAATAATAAATATATGAAATTTGAAAAGTTAAAAATTAATGCATCTAGGCATGCCTCATTTCTATTGCACTTCACAGATACTGCGCTTTTTACAAATTGAAGGCTGTGGCTGCCCTACATTGAGCAAGTCTACTTCTGGCAACACTTTTCCAACCATATATGCTCACTTCATGTCTGTGTGACCCTAGACGTTGGTAGTTTTAGAAGTTCTCTACGCGAATGTGATGTATACCAAGGTTGAGGCCCACTGGATGAAGTTACCTGCTGAATGAGGACAGCAGGGTGGTGGAAGGATTGACTCTGTGGAGAAGGACTGCTAAGCAGTATTGAGGGGCTAGCTAGGATAGACCCTAGGAATTAGTGACCCTCCACAAAGGCATGAGTGGCTGTGTGACTCTCCAATAGGGATCAGTAGTTCTGGGTTTAAGTTTAAAGAAACTTAAACTGGATTGATCCTGAGTTGTAATCTGGCAGGTGGAGGCAGCAGATGGACTAAAAGAATTATACTAGAAGGAAAAGGAGACAGGGCTTCTCAATCCATGGCCAGGGTCCTCAATCTAACTCCTACTTAGCTTACAGGACGTATGGGGCTTGAAAAACAAACACAAAGGGTGGGGAACATAGTGGGAACAGAGAAGGCTTGGAGGCTTAGAGGTCTATGTTTAGAGAAAAACAGGCAGGTCTAGAGAATCCAGAGAGCGTGGTCAGCAGGTGGGCTTCAGAGTCTGGATGGCTCTGGTAACAAAGACAGGGTGTGGGCCCAGGAATGGGGTTTAAAGCACAATGACAGGATATGGAAGAAGCTTAGAGCCTAAAACGATACACAGTCCAGGGGGGTCCCTCTCCTACTCTTTTGCAAATACTAGGAACAACTCAGCTGTCCTTGAAGAAATGAACAGTTACATACTATGATACTTCCATCTCATGAAATACCACTCAGTTATACAAAGAAACAAACTACGGTGGTAACTATGGATGTATGCAACAACCTGAATGAAATCTCCAGAGAATTATGCAGAATGAATAAAAGCCAATGCCAAAGGTGTCACGTGATCATTCCATTCATGTAGGCTTCTTGAAATTATGAAATTACAGAAATTAATTGTTCCCTGGGGCCAATGAGGGCAGAGATAGGAGTGGAAGGGATGTAGGTATGACTGTAAAAGAGCAGCAAGGCAAATCCTTGGGGTGCTGGAAAATTTCTGTATTTTGAATACATCAATGTCAACCTTCTAGCTATGCTATTATACTAGAGTTCTGTAAGATGTTACTGAAAGTGAGTTTAAATTGCTCTTAGACCCTAGAGCACAGAAGAAAAACATTTTGTTTGACGTTTGCTTTCACAAACAGCTTATCAGCAAAAGACACAGCCTGAATATGCATAGGTGTGACTAACCTTGAGCTAAGCCCCAAGCCAGCCAACACAGAAGTAGGGGGCCAACCAGAGGCAAGGGGCCAAGCAACAGAAATTAAAAATTCCATGTATCTGGGGGAAAAGGCCTCATCATGCTTCTCTATGTATGGACTGTTCTATAACTACTCAAGAAACTTCAGCCAAGTTCATACTTTTTGCCCTTAATCTGCTCCATATCCAATAAAATTAAATTCCTTTCTTCCCAACCCCACTCGTCAAAGCCAATATAAACCCCTTCCACAAGGGGGGAGAAAAGGGAACAGATTTGAGTTTTGTCCTGCTTCCTTGCTTGCAATAAACTTTCTTTTCTCAAAACCTGGTGTCAGAATTGGTTTATACACACCAGTCAATGAGGCTATCTTCAGTGACATTACTATTGGGGGAAACTGTGTAAAAATTATTATTTTTATTATAACTGCACATAAATCGAATGCACCTTTGACTGTTTATTCAAGCTCTTGATTTTATAAAATATTTGGTCCTGAAAAGAAACTCATCCATATATTGGGAGGATCTGACTGAATACATCTTAAGAAACAATACTGAAAGTATGAAGAAATTGTAGATGGCTAAGAAGGTATTTGAGAAAATATTTACAAAGAGGGTCCTCCCTGGTGGCAGAGCGGGTTAAGCACAGCAGTAAGAAGCTAAAGCCACTTCAGCATGAGTTTGATCCCCGCCTGCCCCGGAGGAGATCCACATGGCGCAGCAGACCTCTCCTGACCCTCCCGCTGCTCCCCTCAACCGTGTATTTCATCAGTCTGCCTGTTCTGCTCCCCACTCCGTCTCTGGTGAAGCCTCTCACCGCCCCTGCACCTCTGGCCTGTACCCCAGTTCTGTATGCATAAATAAATCTTTAAAAAAAAGAAAATATTGATAAAGAATTACTTTCCCTAAGTGACACTGATCTGTATTTTCTATTTTTGTGTTACATTAATTGTACATCAGCTAGGCTAGCCTCTTGGAATGCGTAAGTATACTGTCTTCTCTTTTTATGTGTATCAAAATATGTATGCTTATGTTATCTATATTTAACACAGAAAATAAATAACCCAGCAACTCACCTTTACTGCATTGCCACCTCCCTTGGGACCTTGAGTCTTCTTATCAGCACTGTCACTCCCAGAGGCTGCTCCTCCTTTAAAGAGGACAGGTATTCATTTAAACCACACCTAGATATTTTGGTCCCATACAAAGGGAGTTGATACTTCCATCACAGTGCTAAGGTTCAAAAGGGAACACCATTACATCAAGCTAAATTCATCTGTGGCTCACCTCTCTTAAAATAGGAAATCTGTATTCTACTAAACCCTTCACAGAAAATGGACAGATAATTTTATTAATGGGCAAATGAGTTCCAGAAGGCTGGTCTAGATTCTCTGGGACCAATTTGAAACCCTGCCTTCTAGGGACAACCCCCTGAGCTCTTAGGTTTCCAGTAAGCACTGAGATCTATGTATTTGAATATTCACAATTCTAGTGAGTTAAATCTCAAAGGATATATTTTAAATAAAGATCAAACTTCCTACCACGCATATCTGGCTAAACAACATATTCATGTCCAAATTCTTGGACTATATTACACTACTTAGGTCAAGAAAAATTATCAATATTCAGATTAACCACCACTGGCAGCATTTTAATTTTATATCACTTTATTACTGTTAACTTTTGTGTCAACAGCAGCACACTTATGGATAAAGGCTGATGTTTCTAAGAACTATTCCAGATTAAGTATTCAGGTTAATTAGTGCTTTTCTGAGAAACTACTAAGTCCCAGGCACTGTGGATAAAGCGAAAAGCAAACCAGGGGCTATACCTAGTTCTTGGCAATCCTACATTCTGCCAGTTGCACGTTACTAGGTAAATCATGACTGTACAGAACATATCCTCTACAAATTCATGGTCTTCAGTAATCGTAGTCTCTCGATTCCAAAGGCAATCCATTTATTAGTGTGTCACTCCTTTTCCATCATCCTGCATGACAAAGCTGCCTCCTCTCCAAGAACATTACTCATTCTCTGCTCTTCAGTCTTAAGAATTACATACTTGCTTTCCACTTTAAGAAATTGAAGCCATCAAGAATGACCACCAGGCCCTCCATGGTGGTGCAATGGGTTAGGGGAAGCAGCACCGCAAGCTGGCCGCAGCCTCTTCAGTGTGAGTTTGATTCCCACCCCGGAGGTGACCACATGGCACAACAGACCTCTCCTGACCCTCCCACTGCTCCCCTCAACGGTATACTTCATCAGTCTGCCTGTTCTGCTCCCCACTTTGTCTCTGGTGAATCCCCTCATCCCCCTGCACCTTTGGCCTGTACCCCAGTACTATATGCATAAAATAATCTTAAAAAAAAAAAACCCGACATCCTACATACCCCACTCCTTACCCCGTCCCCAATTTTTACAGACATGCCCATTCTCATCTCCTCTGAGACCTCAAGCATTAGGCGTCTCTTCCACGTTCAAAGGTCAACTGCTCCACCTCTGTCCTGGAACCCATTTTCTCATAAGTCTCTCTTCTGTCCCTTTACCTCCCTAACTACTTACTGAATCTTTTACGTCAGCCTCACTCCCCACTTTGGAAAAAAAAAAAACTTTCTCTAGATCTTATGGTATTTTCTATCATCCAATTTTCACGCTTTTTCAATTAAAAGATTTCCAGAGAAGTCTACATTGATTATCTATTAACACTTCCGGGTGAATTCTCTCGTCCACCCGCGGCCTCGGCCCCGGATCGGGGGGGGGGGGTCCGCCCGTCTGTGCCCTCCTTTCGCTCCTCACCCGACCCTATCCTCCCCGGTTGCTCTGGCCGCTCTACCTTTCCCCCCTTTTCCAGAACCGCTTTTTCCTTTGGGCGGCATCTTCGAAGTTGCGGATGAACTCTCAACTGCTTTGGTTGCCTTACAAAGCCCCCTTAGGTCCCATAGGCATGACCTAAGCAGATGCCTGAAAGCGGCGTAACAATTAGCCATTGTCACCTCAGCGCCAAGAGCAGGCATATTTGGGGGCAGACCCAAGCATTTGGCTCTTGGGCCAATGGAGCTGAAGATGTCTGACCAATAAGAAGCGTGAACAGGTAGAAGGGCGGGGCCAAGGCGGAAAAGCCCGCCTCTGCGCTCATTTCCTTTTTCACAGGTCTTTTTTATTTTGCGCTGGCTCCTATTCCCTTAGCTCCCCCAGCGCGCCTCCTCCACGCGTGCGTACTGGAAGCTGTGGAACTGTGCTGTCCACGGGCGCCGCTACTGTCCATTCTCGGGGGGGGGGGGGCGTGTGGCTAGACAAAGGCAAAGTCAGAAGAGCTGCAGTGGTTGTCCCCTCCGTATCTCCTCCCCATGACTTTTCTTCTTGGCGGTTTTTCATTTTTTAAATTTTATGTTGCATCTGTAGCTGATGGATGAGAAATGGCCTGAAGTAAGATTATAGCTCAAGCTATACAAAATCATTTTATAAAAAGATGTACGGTGCCCTATATACTATATGCATGGCCTGAAGGACGATTACAGCTCAAGCTATAGAAAACAAAAAATTTTAAAGATATACGGGGCCCTCCCTGGTGGCGCAGCAGGTTAAAGCACAGCACTATGAAGCTGCCCACAGTCACTGCAGCACCAGTTTGATCCCAGGACAGGGAAGTGACCCACATGGCACAGCAGACCTCTCCTGTCTCACCAACTCACTGCTCCCCTCAGCAGTAGATTTCAGTAGATCTACCTGTTCTACTCCTCACTCTTGTCTCTGGTGAATCCTCTCACCACCACTTCGCCCCATCCTAGTTCTTGTATGCATAAGTAAATAAATCTTTAAAATAAAAATTAAAAGGTATACAGTGCCCTATCTACTATATGCATATAAAGGACTGGTGTCCTATCCAGCAAAATGTGACCAGTGGTGTAAGTACAGAGTATGTTTCTGTGTATTTTCCCAATTTTCTATTGTGTTGCAGAGTAATATAGTAGTTTAAAGTTTGGGCTCTACCCTCAGACTTCCTGATTTTAATTCTCTGCTGCACCATCTGTCTAAAGTTCTGTGACCTTGAGGAATTTACCTTACCTCTCTGGCTCAGTTTCATCATCTATAAAATGGAGTTGATTTTAGTGCCTATTTTAGGGGTGTTGAGGGAGTTCATGTTTATAAATATGTAGAGTGCATAAAATCAAATACCTTTTTAAAAATTTTAAAAAAGATTTATTTATACATACAGAACTGGGGTACAGGCCAGAGGTGCGTGTGTGTGTGTGTGTGTGAGAGAGAGAGAGAGAGAGAGAATTCACCAGAGACAGAATGGGGAGCAAAACAGGCAGATCTACTGAAATATATTGCTGAGGGGAGCAGCGGGCGTGTCAGGAGAAGTCTGCCATGCCATGTGGGTCACTTCCCTGGCTGGGCATCGAACACATGCTGCAGTGGCTACTTGCCACGGCCAGCCAGAATATATAGGTCCTTCAACTTATTACAGGGCAACCCCTTGTGCAATAGGTTGGCCTGAATGTGGGTCCTCACTGGGGTGCTTAAAATGGACTTATAACAAGACTCAACTGCGGCACACACAAACATGGTCAATAAAGGGTTTATTTACAAAAAGGGGAAATGAAGAGAAGAATAATGGAGAGACAGAAATTGGTGAATGTATCCTACTAGTTCCATTGAGTTGGGACCCCAAGCCTGGCCTCTTAACTCCACCCTCAGTTTCCAGGAATCCTCCTTTAGATACTGAGGACATTATGGGCTTTGCAGTCCTTGGTGCCTTGGCTCTCTTTGTCCTGGGGTGGGGGTGGAGTCCATAGAACCTTAATTTGCAGAGTTCATTTAGGACACCCTCTCCCCACAAGTTCAGTTTGCTTTTTGGCTACAACCCTCCTGGACTTGGGGATGCTTCAAGCCCAAACCAGAGGTTCAGGTATTTCTGAGAGTAGGCCCACCTTCATCTCATACAAAACAAGTAACCCCCTCTGGCCTTGCTGTTGTGACTTCTGGACACAACATTTTGGGCATTCTTTGCTTCACATTGGGATTGATTGACTGTTGGGAACCCATCCAGCAGTGAAGGGCATTCTGTTTCCCCACTTCTAAGGTGGATCCCACCAGCTGAGCATTTGGCGGGGTGGGGATTGACAATGACAGTGGGAGGTCTCATGTTCATTGGGTCAACCACAACCAGAAGGTCTAGAAAGCACCTTTACTTCTGGTTTTTCACAGGCAAGAGCATTTCTAGTGATTGCTAACTGTGGGAAGTTCAGATCCCATTGAAGATCCTGTGTAGATGGCTAATGTGCCTGATGTTGTTTGTGGAGTTGTTTGGTTTGGAGAGGGGGGTCCTTGGGTTTATTTGGGAAAGGTTTCACCAGAGCTCCCCTGTCACCAGCACCGGTGAATTCCCAGGCGAGTTTCCACCACAAAGAGACATTAGTTATATCCAAAAGGGCAGGTTCGTTATAAAAGGGAGAGAAGAATAAAGCACATTTGCACAGACACAAAGTGGCAGAAAGGGCTGCCTCAAAAGGGACAGGTTTGCTCAGAGAGGCCTGCATGGTTGCAGGCGGGAGGCCTTAAGAGAGTGGCCTCTGCTGAGGGAGGTCAGTGCAAAGAAGCCCCAGGTCACAGGTGGGCAGGAGGCTGCTGCCCTGCAGAAGGACATAGTTGCAAAAAGAAGCACCTGCATAGGCACACGTGGGCAGAAGAACTGCTGCCCCCTGTCAGTACCAAGACTGTGCTGATAGACTTCTCTTTGGGAAGGGCTCACTCATTCGTGGAGTGGTTTGTTTTGAAGAAACTAGAATTTGAGAGGGGCCAAATTTCTACTATGGCCCTCATTTTCCATGTCCTTACTTTCAGATCTGCGCTCCTGACACTCCCTACAGCAGTCTAACACCTGCTTGGGTTTTGTGCTTTGTGATCTGGGCATTGGAATCTAAGGATCTTAATTCCTGCAGCTGGGTTAATGGCTGTTAATTCCTTCTACCCCCATCTCCGGTTCTTGGCATTGTGTGAGCTAGGTTTCTGGTTTTGTGGCACCTCCTTTCCAGTTTTTCTATTCTTATCCTCCATCATGCCCAACAAATGTTTAGTGCCTGGAAGATTTTGAGAGCTCTCTCTGTGTGTTGCAGCGAGTAATGAAAGCAATGAAAGGTTCGGCACAGTAAGGAAGACACAAAGAGATAGAAAGGCCAGTAAAACCAAAAGTAGGTTTATTTCTGCACTCCTGGGCGAGGTTCACTGACACCAGAGAGAGTTGAGGTCAGAAAAGTCCCACTGAGGAAGGAGTAAGAGGGGTTTTTATAGGCCTAGATAGGGGGAGAAACTGCCGGGTGGAAAATTTTGACAAGGAGCTGGAACTTATTTTTCTGCCGCAGCTCGTGTTAGCAGGTGGTGGCAGACAAGGTGGTGACAAGCAAGTCATGAGGTTATAGCTCCCAAACATCTGCTTCTGCTTGGGGCAACTGCTCTTCTGTTTGGCTGGTGCCTGACCCTTGCAAGCAACACCATTAAATGGCAAGCCTGTGTGAGTGACTTAATTTGCCCAAAGCAGTGCCTAAAGGCCAGAGGAGAAAAGGGGGTCATATGGTCAAATAGGAAGTCATGTACAGTCTCCACTGGGCATCACAAAAAGATGAGGAGGGTAATATGAAAATCTTAAGTGCTCTACAATGTGAGTTTATAGGCAACTTTTAGTTTCCTGTTTGTATTATATTGTGTGTATATCAATTGGCATGCATGATTGTTTTATTCAAGAGAAAAAAAAAAGGAAATAAGTGTTATTTGTAAAAGCAACCCAAAAAGCTAATTTCTCTACAGGGTTAACTTTGCACCAGTCTGTGGAGACCAACTGTGGAAGCTGTGGAGCAGAGTGACAAATGAGCTGAAGAGCGGGCAGGGGGCAAAACTTCAGCCTCGCAACCATGGTAACAAATACGGGAGTGTGCATGGCTAGTCAGAGCCAGGAATGACGCCAGTTGTTTTCTATTAATTATCTCCTCAGACCAGCTCTTCCATGCATTATTTAAACAAGGAAAATCAGGAAGGGGAGCCAGCATCCCACTTCCTAAGACAGAGGCTCACAAACCTTGATTCAGACCACTGTCCCATCCCACCTGCTCCACGACTAAAGGGCTGCAGTTCCTTTTTCGTTTGTGATTGTGGCAGAGCTTATTCTGAAAGGGGGACCTGAAGCAACAAAACACAGAAATCTAGTTGATTCCTTGCAGAGGTGGTCAATGCACAGGGTGCTCTGCAACCCACACTGAGAAAACCAGGGTAGACAAAGGTCACCTTTGCAAATTGACACCAGGAAAAATCAGCACATGGTAAATGAGATTAGCCTTCTGCACAACTGGCCATCATGGCAAATGGGTTCATGTATATCGCCAATGGGACAGATGTGTCTCTTGAGTACAGTCTTGCATGAGGCAATGAAGCTTTGAATTCACTGAATTTAAAAAGGGGCTTCAGAGAAGAAATTCCCATCTATATTTATGGAATATTGTCTAAGCAAAAGAGCTATAGTTCCTGGAGGACATCAGTATTCCAGATTCTCATGAGGTGGGTTTTTTCAGAGGAGAGGTTCATTTCAGACTGTGGAAAACAATCAACACCAGTGACATATGTGCCACAAATCTGGCATTTTCCCTTCATGATCTCTTTTAGTTTTCACAGCAGTTTTATTTGCAAAGAATCACTGTCACTATTTTAAAGCTGAAGTAACTGGCTCACAGAAGTTAAGAGATGTGTTTAAGGCCTCACCACCTAAGGACTGACAGGGAAGGGCTCTGAACTCAGGTCTTTCTATCTGACTTTTCAAGCAGGTCTTCTCTAGTGATGACACTGCCCTGGGCTTTGTTGCCCCCTAACTGAGGCCTAGGAACCACCCACTTATTTCCATTTGCTCTGAAAGCATATTTTCCAAGCCAGCTTTCCAGGGACCTTGAGGTCTTATAAAGGGGCACAAGAGGTGCCTGGGTCAAG